AGCACCTGGGCCATCCTCCACTGCACTCCCTGGCCACAGCAGAGGGCTGGCCTGGAAGAGGGGCAACCGGGACAGAATCCGGCGCCCCGACCGGGACTAGAACCCGGTGTGCCGGCGCCGCTAGGCGGAGGATTAGCCTAGTGAGCCGCGGCGCCGGCCGAGGACTACTTTTAGATTCTCAGAAAAACTGGGAAGACAGTGCAGAGTTCCTGTGTACCGCATACCGGGATTCTTCTGTCATTAAAGTCTCAAGTTAGTGTGTGATACACTTGTTACTATTAATGAGACGTTATTGCTACATTATTGTGTTTTTTTTTTTTTTTTTTTTTGACAGGTGGAGTGGACAGTGAGAGAGAGAGACAGAGAGAAAGGTCTTCCTTTTGCCGTTGGTTCACCCTCCAATGGCCGCCATGGCCGGCGCACTGTGCTGATCCGAAGCCAGGAGCCAGGTACTTCTCCTGGTCTCCCATGGGGTGCAGGGCCCAAGTACTTGGGCCATCCTCCACTGCACTCCCTGGCCACAGCAGAGAGCTGGCCTGGAAGAGGGGCAACTGGGACAGAATCTGGCGCCCCGACTGGGACTAGAACCTGGTGTGCCGGTGCCGCAAGGCGGAGGATTAGCCTATTGAGCCACGGCGCCGGCCTATTGCTGCATTATTGTTAGTTAGAGTCTAAACTTCATTTCTGCTTTTACACAAAGCCCTTTTCTGCCCCCAGATGCCATCACAGATGCCATTTAGTTACCGTGTCTCCTTGGCACCTCTTGTTTGTGACAACTTTTCAGACTTTCCTTGGCTTCTGATGACCTTGACAGTTCTGAGAACTAGTTAGGTATTTTTCAGGATGTCCCTTAATTTAGATTCACATGATATTTTCCTCACAATTAGACTGGGACTGTGGGCTTTGAGGAGGAAAATCACAGAGGTCAAGTGCAATTGTTATTGCATCACATCCAGGACACGTGACAGCCACAGGATTTAGTGGTTGGTGTTGACCTTGACCACCTGGCTGTGGTCATTCAGTTTGAGTTTCTCTGAAGTAGAAGGTCCCTTTCCCCCTTTCCACAAGATGGCCTTGGAAAGGAAGTTCCACGGCACAGCCCACACCACAGGGTTTCAGTCCTGCAGCTCCACCCGAGGACCAGGGATCTGCAGATTTGAGGTTCTGCGTGTACATTCGTCTTTCCTCTTCATTTGCTCATTTTATTTTTTTAGTTATTTATACTCGTATGTACTTAAGGATGTTCATTTTACGCTTTCAGTTACAATCCAATATTACTTTATTTTGTTATTAAAATTATCCCAGCTTTAGCATAGAGAACTTTTCTTAAAATTTACTTGTGTAGTTGTTAGAGAGGGAGATACCTATGCACACACATGGAGGGAGAGAGAGAAAAAGAAAGAGAGAGAGAGAGAGAGAGAGAGAGAGAGAGAGAGAGAGAGAATCTTCTAACCACTGGTTCACTCTCCAAATGGCCGCAAAGGCCGGAGGTTAGGCCAAGTCAAAGCCAGGAGCTGGAACTCCATCCAGGTCTCCCATGTGGGTGGCAATGGTCCATCTTCTGCTGCTTTAGCAGGGAGCTGCATTGGAACTGGAGCATTAGCAGGGAGCTGGATCAGAAATAGAGCAGCTGGGACACTCATAATGGATGCCAGCATTGCAGGTGGTGGCTTAACCTGCTGTGCTACAACGCTGGCCCCAGCACTGAGATCTTTCAGTTGGTTCCTGTGTCCCTTGGCATATCCCCTTCATTTTGTGTGTGTGCATGTGTATGAGTGTAGGCATGTATATATGTGTATGTGAATATACATGTGTGTATATATGTATGTATGTGTGTATGTATATGTACGTGTGTGTGTGTGTGTGTGTGTGGCATGCCTTTACTTTCTGGCAGTATAAGATGCTCCAGGCTCATTGTGCATGAGGGTTCTTTAAAAAGATCTTGGAAAATGGAATTAAAAGATACATGTATTTTTGGTACAAAAACATTTTGAAATCCATGCATAGCTTTTTCATAGTATGCACTTCCCATGAACTTTTGGAAGACTCCTTGTGTTTGCTGCCTTAATCCTAGAAACAGTTTCCTAAGGGGCCCTGGTCGCTTTTATTGGGGAATGAGGTTAGAAACCAAGATCTCTGTGCTGGGAGTGCTCGCGGCTGTGGAGTGCGGGCTGTCATTGCCTCTAGGCCTCTCAGCTGACGGAGTAGGAAATACACACATGCACACATACACACACACACACACACACACACACTCACATGCACGCATGAGCATTCCCAAACCCACCAAAAGGCTTCAGAAAGTTCATGATAAAGTTCATGGGAGAATGGAATGAAAAGAGATGAGCACTTTCCATGGACTTTTTGAAGTCCCCTTGTATATAAAAGCCTGGCCTAGCATGCTAGCAGACCAGGTTGTTTTGAGGAGTCCATGAAATCACGAGAGGGTCAGAGCATGAGCACACTGTGGCACGCAGCTAGGCATACCTCTGCAGGGGACATCTCTCCCTGTAACCATCTGCACCCAAGGTGAGTGAGCCCCAAGTGCCCAGTGACATCTCCACTTCTAATCCTGTCCGCATTCCTCCTTAGAGCATCCTCCTTGGCATTTTTATCCTAAGCAATGTTGCTTAGTAACATAGTGGACATGCATTCATCTGTTTCCAGGAAACAGGGCTGACAGTTAACCAAAGGTCAAATTCTCATGCAGAAGAGGAAAAGGTTTTGCTCACCCTTTACCCATGCTCATCAGTGGCTCCCCACTGCTCTGAGCACACACAGCAAGCTTCGTGGTCTATAAGCAGTGCCTGTAGTGGCCGGCAAGCTGAAGAGTCCAGCTCCAGCGACCAAGTCCGTTACTGAGCCCTCTGTTAAAATCACATGGATTTCCTCCAACTCTCATACCATTCTCCCTCCTGCCCCAGGGCCTTTGCTCATGAAATCCCTCTTTTTGCCCTCTTGTCCTGGCTGCCTTCTACTTCTTCTGATCTCAGCTCAATCCTCATTTCTGCAGGGTAGCCACCCCTGTCCCCAAAACTAGCACCCTTGTCTGAGACTTGCACAGTACTGTGCACCTTCACTGGGGAGCACTTCCTGCAGTTGCGATGACATATTTCCTTACTGTTTTCTCCTGGGGTTCTCGAGGGTGGGGGCGGAGTCTGTCTAGTTAGCTAGGACATAATAGGCATGCAAGAACTATTTGCTCATCCTCTGCTTTTCTTTTTTTCCATTTTTTAATAAAAAATTTGGGAAATAATATTTACAAACCCTTGTCTTGAGGGCTGACTTTTTAAAAAAATTATTTGACAGGTAGAGTTATAGACAGTGAGAGAGAGAGACAGAGAGAAAGGTCTTCCTTCCATTGGTTCACTCCCCAAATGGCCGCCATGGCTGGCACTACACCGATCCGAAGCCAGAAGCCAGATGCTTCTTCCTGGTCTCCCACGTGGGTGCCAGGGCCAAGCACTTGGCCCATCCTCCACTGCCCTCCCAGGTCACAGCAGAGAGCTGGACTGGAAGAGGAGCAACCGGGACTAGAACCCGGCGCTCATATGGGATGCTGCACAGCAGGCAGAGGATTAGCTAAGTGAGCCACAGCACGGGGCCCCAAGGGCTGACTTTCAAAAGATCACAGCGAGGGGGCTGCTCTGCTATGTGCGAAACCCTGACCCAGAAGCTGGTCAGCTACGAATGGTTCCCCATGAATGTGCGTTGCGTGACGTCATCCTCTTCTTTTCATTCGAAGAACATTTATAAAGGCCTCGTAGGTGTTGGCCCCTTCCCAGCCTCTGGGCACTTGCGGAGTTGGTAGTAAACAAGCCGAGAACGGAGCCAATGTCAGGGGCTGACAAATAAAACAGAGAGCAGCACAGAGTGAAGAAGTGCAGGGGCACTGCTCGTTTTTAAAGGGTGGCCGGGAAGATGTCTCCGGGCAGGTGACATCTGAGTAGAGACTCACAGGAAGTGAGGAACAGGACTGGGTGCTGGGGACACCCCGGAGAAAAAGGCCTGGGGCCCAAAGAACAGTGAAGGCAGGACTTTCACAGCTGAGGCAAGGAGCGGTGGCAGCCAAAGGCAAAGCTGTCATCCGGGCCTCGTAGATCTCACCGAGTCCACTCAGATGAGTAAACTGAGCTCCAAGAGGGGAGCCCCAGGCACCAGGGCACTTGCTGTGAGAGGTGGAGCTGGGCTTCACACAGGCATCTGGGGCCAGTGTTCGCTTCCCTTTGCAGTCCTCACAGGCAGGCCGGGCTGCCAGGAGGCAGGGAGGAGACAGAGGGTGCCCCTGCTCAGGGCTCAGTGACGCTGGCCTCGGAGGCCCAGCCCTCCAGCTGCCGGGCGGACTTCTGCTCTCGGCGTTTGAGGACAGGTGAGGCCCTGCCCACAAGGAGGCTGAGGAGCCAGGACAGGACTTCTCGTCTACTCGAGCTTCCAGATGGCCGCCAGCTGCTGATGCACCTAGAGCCCCCGGGACTGTGCTGTCATGGTGGCAGGGACAGAGGTGGACACTGGGCTCACACAGGTGGGGGAGCCACAGAGCCCACTGAGTCTCCTGGAAAACCCGGTGCCACCCATGCTCTTCAGGTCGAACCTCTTGGTTTGTAGGAAATACACAGTAATGGTCACCCCTCCTCATCACTTGTCCCCCCCATACCAAACCACCCTGAGTGCTGGGGGATCCACGTGGGCTGCCTTCTCCAGGAGCTGCCAGTCTGATGGAGGAGGCAGGCCAGTAACTGGAAAAGCACACCTGTCAGATATGAGGTCGATAATGGAGGCAAAGGAGGATGGAAGTGGAAAGGATTCCAGGGCGAAGCAGTGCGGGTGAGGGGGTCGGACAGGCTTCCCAGGGAAGGAGGCACTGCGGCTGGGCCTTGGAGGGGCCGCTGTCCCACAGGGTAAGAAGAACCTGCAGAAACCGAGCTGGTGGGGGGGCCCGTCAGAGACTTCTTTTCAGCCTTCAGGGGGCGCCCTTGAGCTGTGCAGCTGCACGCGCCAGGGGCGACTGGCCGGCCCTAAGGGCCCGGGAGGGCACCTGGGTTCTACCTGGGGCTGCGTGCATGTGTGCGTGTGTGCGTGCATGTGCATGTGTGCAGAGCTGAGGGCATCCGGGCCTGGCGCCAAAGGGCTCTCCAGCTGCGGGGAGAGGCAGTCGGCGGGGGAGGGTCCCTTCCTCCAGCAGCCCCCCGCCCCGCCCCTGCGCCCGGAGATCGCGGGCTCACGGCTCGGGTTCCCTAAGCCCGGGCGCAGGCGGCGCAGACCCGCCCTCCGGAGAGGGGAGGATGCCTTGGTGCCCCCCAACGCCATCCCCGATCCATCGCCCGCCGTGCTAACTCTCCAGACGCCCTCGCCAGCTGCGGGCGGAGCTCGATCCGCGTTGCTCGAGGATCCTCGGCCCCCGCCCCTTCCCCGGTCCCTCCCTCCTGGAGCCCCCCAGCGGCCGCCGCCGCCGCCGCGGTACAGCCCGGCGCGGCGCGAGCAGGTACGTGCGCCTCGGCGGCGGCTCCCTGCCGGGCCGGGAAGGGGGCGGGAGCCGGAGAGGGAAGAGACGGCGGTGGCGGTCGGGCCCGCGCCCTCCGGGGCTGCGCCGCAGCTGAGACCCCCGCGGGCGGCGCCGGCTGCAGGGAGGTGGGCGGGCGCCCGGGGAGGACGCACCCTCGGCAGCCCGGTGCCCTTCGCCGCCCGCGTGGGGAGGCAGAGAGCGAGGCCCGGCACAGGTACGCACGCGGGGCGGGACCTGCGGGGGGCGGCGGGAGGCTGAGGGCCCGAGGCAGGGAGTGGCGGCGAAGGACAGTGGCCTGACCTCGCGGCCCGCCGAAGGACACGCGGCCCTGGGACCCGGGCGCACGCCGGCCCCTGCCGAGCCCGGCCTCCCTAGGCCGCCTGGCTGCTCCGCTGCAGGCGCCACCCGGCCGGGCCCCGTTCGGCCTGGGCGGGCCGGTAGCGTTGGTGGTCAAGGGCAGGAGCAGGGGGCGTGAACCGTGGGCCGGCGGGCGCGCGGCCCCGGTGGGCAGCCGGGGAGCTGGGGCTTTTTCTGTGCGGAACTTTGGGTCTGGCAGCGTGTACCTGCGTGTGCGTGTCGGCGCGCCCGGGGCTTTGTGTACAACTTGTGCGTGTGTCTGTGATCGGGTTTGGGAAGCTGCGCTGGCCCCGGCCGAACGGCCCTCTCCGCGGGTGTCAGGGAGCGCGGGTGGGATGCTGGGCCCCGGGGGGTCTCGGGTCTTAGCAGTCCCAGGGACAGTTAACAGTCTGTCCCTGTTTTTGTGCGTGTGACCAGTCCTACCCCTCCTGGGGTCTGGGTACCACTGGCGTCAGTGCATCTGTGGGTCCCACTACGTGCCTTCCCCTGTTTGTGGGTCCCCCTGTGGGCACAGCCTCTGGGGAGCGAGTGTGGACCCGGGGTGGGAATGGCAGCACTGCTGGGTGTGAGGCGGGCAGGAGCACGCCTGATATTGTTTCTGCTTCTGGGTAGTGGAGCCGGCTGGGACTGGCGTACCTGGTGGGCGTCTCTGGACCCGTGCAGGAGAGCAGAGAGGGAGGAGGGGCCTCCTGTTCTCTGCTGCCTCACTCCCACATCCTAAGGGAAAAGTTTCGGGTTCCTGTAAGGTGGAGTGCCCTGCTCCGGGAATTTGGGTGCCCTGACGGGGGTGTCAGTGTGTCAGTCTAGAAAAGGGGACCCCAAGCTGCACTGGGAGCTGAGTTCTATGCAAGGTGCTGAGGGCTGGTGTGGGAGGGGCATCTGGGCACCCACATGCACCCTCTGTGGGCCCTATTTAGGGCTGGGCACTCAGTGCTAGGCGTGAAAAGCCAACCAGCCCAGCTCTCCTTTCTTCTGTTCTCCGGAAAGAGCGGAAGAGCAGGAGGGCAGGAGGGCAGGGCTGCAGGTGGAATTCAGACTTATTCCTGCCCTCCGAGATGCTGTTGGTGGCTGTGAAACAGGTGGATGAAGTGGAAGGCCCACGGGGAGGGTCGGAGGAGCCCGGGAGCGGGGGCAGAGTGCAGCCAGCAGCCCGGGAGCGAGGGTTTGCAGGGTGTGGGTGCTAACACCTCTTAGGGTAGCTGCCTGCGACTCCCTGCTCCCCCACACGCGGGCGGCGTGATCTTGCTTTACACACTGGAGATGGCGCTCCTGGGTGTGCAGTCTGCCGAGGGTTGTCTGAGATGCTCCCCCGTGAAGCACCCAGCAGGAAGTAGGTGCTTGGGTAGGGGGGTCTGTGGGAGGAAGGAGGTGGTGGTGGGCGTGTGTGGGAAGGAGACATGGGCTCAGCGCCCAGATGGAGGGCCCGGGGTGTGCTCAGAAGATGCAAGTCCGTGTGAGGGGAAGGTCAGAAGGATCGGACAGTGCTTTCCCGCGTGCAGGCTCCTTGAGCTTCCTTCATTGGTTCACTGTACGCATTCTCACTTCACTTGCTCATGTTCACACACACACACACAGAGAAGCTCTGAGCGTACACTCAAAGAATATCCTGCCATAGGAATGCAGAGAGAGAGAGTGTGTGTGTGGCACAGAGCCCCTGTCCGCCTGGCAGGCTCCGTGCCATGTACGGATTGTGTGCCTGGGGCTCTGGGGGTGTGCACGTGGAATGGTGTCATGCCGTGGGATAGGGATTGCATGTGACCCCGACTGACCTCTGAAGGTCATCCCTGCCCCTTCCCAGCGTGACCTCCTCACTCTCACTGCTGGGGAGTTTCGGACTCATCCTCCAAAGTCTGACTTAAATGCCAGCAACCCCCCAGAAGCTTCCCAGACTTTCTTGTTTGTTCCCATAACACCATGGCCATCTCCACCATAATCCTCCCCCCACCCCTGCCAACAGTGGTCACTTCCTGAGTCTGCAGGCTTTGCATGCATTAGTTTGATGAAATCCTCACAACAACCTCATGAGGGAGACATCCTTTATTCCCATTTTACAGATGGGCACACCAAGTCTGGAGAGGAGGTCACATCACTTGCCTAAGCTCAAGTGGTAGAACTGGGATTTGAAGCTACTTTGCCTCCACCATGGTGACAGCCCATTGCTAGTCCTTACTGAGCACTCACTTCTGAGTACTGAGTGTAGTGTATCTCAATCTTGGCATCTCTCTCGGGAAGTAGGGGGTAATGAGTTATTGTCCTTTTATAGGTGGGGAAACCGAGGCCCATGGAGGCGAGGTGAGTTGCCCACAGCCACACAGCAGCCCGTGGGGGAGCAGGATACTAACAGGGCCTGTCCTGCTGCGTCCATCTCCCCTCTGTGTGGTGAGCTCTCTTCAGGGGAAACCACACAGTGTGAGGTCGGCACCAGTAGGCACGTGCAAGAGGTTTGCTCAGTCAGTTCAACTGACTTTTTGTTTTCTCTTCTAGCGGCCAAGGGGCCAAGGGATGAGCTGGGACCCTCCCCTCAAATGGCATCTTCCCCTGGTCTGGAACTGAAGACGCTGAGCAATGGCCCCCAGGTCCCTAGGAGACCAGCTCCCCTGGGCCCAGGCGCCCCGCCCAGGGAGGGTGTGGAAAATGCCTGTTTCTCCTCAGAGGAGCACGAGACCCGTTTCCAGAACGCCACGAATGCCAGTCCCACCGGGGGTGTCCCTCCACTGTCCCGATCCCAGCAGGACGATCTGTCTGTGCACTCGGAGGAGGGGCCGGGCCTGGAGCCCGTGAGCCGCCCCGTGGATTACGGCTTCGTTTCCGCCCTGGTTTTCCTGGTGAGTGGGATCCTCCTGGTAGTGACAGCATACGCCATCCCCCGCGAGGCCCGCGTCAACCCGGACACAGTGACAGCGAGGGAGATGGAACGGCTGGAGATGTACTACGCCCGCCTGGGCTCCCACCTGGACAAGTGCATCATCGCGGGCCTGGGGCTGCTCACGGTGGGCGGCATGCTCCTGTCCGTGCTGCTGCTGGTCTCCCTGTGCAAGGGCGAGCTCTACCGCCGGCGGACCTTTGTCCCTGGCAGAGGTTGCAGGAAGACGTATGGCTCCATCAACCTGCGCATGAGACAGCTCAGCGGCGATGGGGGCCAGGCCCTGGTGGAGAATGAAGTTGTCCAGCTCCCGGAGCCCAGCCACACCCTGCAGCGGTCCTAAGAAGGAGCCTGCAAGTCTGGCTGCTTTAGCTCCAGGGCTGCTCCAAGGCCTGGGGGTTTCAAATGGAGCCTCCACCTGGGGCCAGTGGGAGGAGTCTCAGGGGTGGAGGGGGAGCCCCCTGGGGCCTGACGCAGGCCCCACTACAGTGGGAGCCCAGGGAGCTGTTTTGTAGCTTGAAGTTTTGCAAAAGGTTTTGGTTGGAGGATGGCTTCTGCTGCTAAAAATACAAAAGTTTGGAAACTGCTGCTCCTGGAAGGTGAGGTTTCATGGCCTGAGGACTGGGAGCTGTTTGGAAGGTTGCCCACCCCGTGCCTGGGGTCTGGGACTCCCGTTGTCCTCATCAGCCATGTGCACAAGTTGGGTGCCCTTGGCGGGGCCCTTTTCAGCCTGAACCATCTAGGGTGGGAGGCGGCTGCATGAGGAGGGGAGAAGGATGCGCCTGCAGCACCCGTGTGGACTAACCCGCGCCCCTTCCCTATCCAGGCCTCAGCCACCCTGTCTGTAAGGGAGGGCTGGGACGGAATGACCCCTGGGGTCCCTCCAGTTCTGCCATGGGGACAGAAACCTGGGCTCTGTTCTGGCCACCCCTTCAGGGCAAGAGGGTGTCTCTGGGCACTGATCGCTCTCCATGCCATTTGCTGGCCTGACCTTGGAGCCCACCACTGCCAATCATCAGCAGCTCTCGGGGTACTGCTTCCAAGCCCCGTGGTTGGCCTGGGCTAAGTCCAAAGTCTCCTACAGCCTGGTTTTGGTCTTGGGGTCTAATTTCCTGCAGTCATGCATTTTATACAGTCAAGTACACAGCAAGGGCTTTGCTGTCTTTCTGTGGGCATGAGGCTGGCCTTTGTCACCTCCCCCTCAACAATGGGAATCTTATCCAGCAGAACAATCTAAATATTTGGGACTGGCCCTCCCGCCTCAGTCGTAAAGTGCGGCTACCAGCTCCGTGGGGAGGACTTGGGCACACCCGGCGTCCTGGGCGCTCTGGCTGCATCGATTGCTGTTTGCTCCTATTCGCTTGTGGAATATTCCCAGCCTCCTTCCAGGCTCTCTAAAGACCAGGCAAGGAAGCAGGTGCTAGGGGGCAGGAAGATGAAGGTGTTTGAGGATGGGGGGAGGCAGCGCTCGGTCCGCAGGGCCCTGGAAGTCTTCACACCAGTGAGCCCCTGCTGCCTTGCAGGTCCTGCCTCCTGGGGCTCCTGACTGTCTTGCCAGTGGAGGGAGTGAAGGTCCGGGAGCCTGGTCTGCAGAGGCCTGATGGCCTGTAACACGAGCCCTCAGCCCGGGGAGTGGGCCATCTGCGCAGTGTGATGTCACAGCCCCAAGGCTGATCGAATGTCTGCTCTGCTCCTGCCAGGGGAAGAGACCCAGGGGGCGGAGGACCAGGCTTGCCTCCCTTCTCCTCTCAGGTTCCACCATGGTGTGAAAGGGGGCGGGGTTTGAAAAGAACAAAGCCCCAAGATGGTGGAGAGTCCCAAGTCCTGGGCTCCCACTGGTATGTTCACTCCTCCCAGCCTTAACAGGAGCAGTGGCAGGAAGCAGTGTGAGCTGTTCTGGGTAACTAAAGCTGAATGGGACATCCTGAGTAAGGGGCTCAGGTTTCGCAAATCCGTAAAGATGATAATAAAAATATTAAGGATCTCTGTGATGGGGTGGGGGTGGGGGGACTTACATGGAGACGAAGCCTGTTGATGCTGCATCTGGGACCGTGAATTCCTATCAGGTTAAAGGCTCTGAAATGTATTTAGGGGCTGAATCTGTTAGAAGATCAAATCCCAGGAATCTCCGGCTTTCTTCAAGCCAGAGAAGCCTGCTCTGCGTTCTAATGTAAACTCCTTTAGAGATGTGTATAATGGGTTGAGGCAGTCATTACTTTGTCGGTGAATTAAGAAAACTTGAGAGATGCCAACATTTCCCTAAGATTGCAGCTGAGGTCTCCCAGCCGGCGGAGCAGAAGCAGGTGTAGGAAGGTGTGAGGAGCAGTCTGGGGGAGGGTGCTGAGAACTCGGCAGGTTTCTCTGGGAGTAGGTTTGGAGTCATCCCAGGGGCCCCTGTGGTCACTGGAATATGCCTCATCTCCCGGCAGACAGGCTTCTAGGACTCCCAGTCTGCTTTGCCAATGTCTGAACAGATACCGATTTTGGAGTTGGTAAGACCAGGATTTGAATCCATGTTTGGCCATTTTCTGTGTGACCTTGGGCAAGTTACTCGACCTCTCTGAGCTTGGGTTTCTGAGTGAAAAGAGCCTACGAGGGGAAATGACGCCGATCAGAGGTAACTGGATACGCGGTGGCCAAGGTCCAGTAACAGTGATGTTCCCTTTCCCCACCCCATTTGGGGGTGACTGCTGGGTCTGAAACCACGGACCAACACCTCGGCCTGTCTCAGACCCACCAGCTGATCTGAAGAGTCTGACGCTGGCCACCCCTGGCCCCTCGCCCAGTCCAGGGATCGCACTGGTGTCCTGGCGTTCTCTCCTGTCCACCTTCCTTCTCAGCTCGTCCTGCCCTTGGCAGCTGGAGGGAGCTGACGGGGCGGTCAGGTCCTGTTGCCCTCTGTCTGAATGCGAAGGCGCCCTCTTGCTCTGGCAGAGCCAAATTCTCACAGCCAGAGGCCAATTTCCTGCAAGACTAGCCAAGCCGGAGGGGCCAGGCCCCTCATTTGGCCTGGGCCCCTTTCGAGGTGCTGAATTGCCTTTGGTGTTTGTGGCTTTATTTTTCCTATGGGTGGCCCCCTAAATTGCATAGGTTTCAGGTCTCCCCAACCTGAGTCTGTCCCTCTCAGTGGCCTACAATGTCCTGCACAATCTGGCCCCTGGGTCGCTCTGACCTCACTCCAGTTCAGCCATATTTGCTTCCTTGTCATTCCTCAACTTGGCAGGCACACTGCTGCCTCAGGACCTTTGCATGTAGTTTTCTCTCCATATCTGCAAGGCCTAGATTGCACCTCTTTAGGGGCTCTATTCAAGATCACTGCCCAGTGATACCTGCTGACTACCCTGTTTAAAGTCTCTCCCACCTCCTGGCCAAACCCCACCCCGTTTTCTCCTCCTGGCCTAACCCCCACCCCCTTTCCTCCTTCCCTGCTCTGTTTCCCTCTGGAGCTCTTACCACCCCCTGGCAGGCCATGTCTTAATTTCTTGTCTATTCCTCCCACCTCCCCCACCAGACTGCAGGCTTCTGGCATTTCAGTCTAACTGGCTCATGCTGTACTCCCAGTACTAGAAACATCCACACATAGTAGGTGTTCACTGTTGAAGGAATGGATTGGTAAATGAATGCAACAAGTTTCCTGCACCTGCTGGGGCAGCCAGGCCCACACGGTGTCCTGGAGCCCCCCAGTCCCTGCCCAGCTCCTGGTGTCTCATCTAGAGGTAGGAGTCAGTGATGGAGAAGAGCTGAAGGGGCTTCAATACCACTGGTCCCTGTAGCTGGAGCTTGGGGACCTGTCTGCTGTCTGTGCTCCTGTCTAGGCCTTGATGAAGGGAGACCCTCCTCCTGCAGCCTTTTCAGGACAATTATGCTAGGAGGTGTTAGCTGGGTGTCCAGGAGCTGAGATCACCACCCAGAATCTCCCTGACCAGGCCCTAGGTGCCCAGGCCAATACCCAGTGTCCATCTCACTCCTGTCACTTAGCCAGGCCCCCTGCGAGTCTCCTGGCTAGAAATGCCTGGCATCCCACTTTAAATGCTCGCTTTCTTGGGATTGAGCATTCTCTTCCCTGGGAGTCCCTTAAAGATGTCTTCCTCCCCGCATGTGCATCCACACACAGGCACACGCCCATATGCCCATACCTGAGCAGGCACACCGTGCACACCCCTGCACTTCTCCTTCCTGACGTCTCTCAGAAGCCATGGACATGCATTCTCGTGAAGCAGCTCCTAGCCAGGGTGTGCTCTGGGTGATGGACCCTGTTTTCTCTTTCTCCCCCAGTCATTGGTCTTGCCGACCCCAGGCTGCCAACCTCACAGCCATTGCCCTACTTCCCCTCCCCCAGCTTGGCTGCTGTCTCTGTATCCATCCAGCGCTCCCTCCACCCCCCTTGCAGGGAAGGGGAGTTCCAGGAGAGTTTCCACCTAGCATTTTGGAGGGGACCACATGGTCCTGGGATGCAGAGCAGGCTAGCCAGGTGCTGCTGGTCACCCCTTTCCCTGTGGGCCTTTGGGCAAATCTCTCCACCTCTCTGGTCTCCTAGAGGCACACTGAACACCTTCCCGCTCTGCCTTCACAGACTGCGGGGCCAGGAAACACAAGCAGTTCTCCAAGGCTGCACACACAGCACCTGTGTCTGGAGAACTTCGAAGGGGTAGGAATGCGAAGGGGGGCATTATGATGAAGCCGTGTCAGGTTCTGTCATGGCATAGTGAGGTGTCAGTGGCACTGGCAAAGCCAAGGAAGTGCCCTTGGTTTCTCCTGGGAAGTAGACTTGCCCTAATGTTGCTGAAGAGGCAGGTGTCAGTTGGGGAAGGGAAGCTGGCCTGGGCTGGAGTGGTAGGGGGCGCCCTGGCAGTGGAGGTACTTTAGCACTTACTGGGCAGGTGTTGGGTATGTTCAGGGGTGCAGCACAGTTGGGTAGGATCTGGCCAAGAGGCTCCTCAAACTTCCACACCTCTCCTTTGGGGACAGCCAGTGCCACAATGGCCAGAGACTGGTTCAAGGCGGTAACAATATGGGCCCTGTTCTGTCTTCTTGTCAGTGGCCCAGACCCCCTGGTCCCCACACCATTCCTCTTCCTGGGCTGGGCTGTGTCCGAGCAGATGGCCAGGATGTCAGAATGCTGCAGAGGTGGCAGCGTGGCCACTCTCCAACTCCTAGAGCTGAGTGCAGAGGGCCTGGAGGCAGAGCCCCTCGTGGAGGGCTTCTGCCGGGGGTCGTGCATCAGGTCTGTGAGTGGGAGCATTGCCTCCAGAGGCTGGCGGCCTGGCTGCCTGGGAGTTGCTTGGGGCCTCCTCAGGTGCTCCGCATGGGAGGCAGCAGGGCTGGGAGCAGCACCTTCCCCAAAGGCTGCAGCGAGCAGTAAACGAGCTGGCGCTTGTAAAGCACTTTGCCTGGCGCATGGCTCTTCATGACTGCTCACAGGTGTCGGCCCTCCAGGCAGCCACTCTGCCTTCCTCCTGGAATGGGGTGCTGTGGGCTGGTCACAGGCTGTCTGGGGACACAGGACAGTGTTGGCCACTGCTGTGATGGAGGCAGGGTGGGTGGCGTGTCTGCGAGGGCTGCATGCAGAGGGGGTGCCTCATTGAGCTGGGGTCAGAAAAGCCTTCCTGGAAGGGAGGAGGGCTAACAAGGGCTGAGTATAAGGAAAGGTACTCGAGGCAGAGAGGAACAGCACCAGCAGAGGCTCAGAGGTCTAAACAGCCAGTGTGCCCTGGGTGTTGAGAGGAGGCATGCTGAAGGGCAGGGGCCCAGAGCGGGGCTTTGTGCTGCATCCCCTGCAGAATGGGGCTGACTGACCAGAGTACTCAAGTCACAGGGTCATTACCAGGATGGAATTCACAGGGGGACAGTTCGTGGCAGCCCTTAATATCGCTTGCAGAGGTGTGTGGCAGGAAGATCCTCTGATATCAGATGCAGTGTAGAGGTGTCTGTGACACTGTGGGATCCAGCACTCAGCCACCCTCCCGGGGTCCCCGCTACAGAGGTCACAACCTTAAGCTCCAGGCCTCCATCTCGGCAGCCCGTCCCGTCTTGGCCTCTGAGTCATCAGAGTCAAGGTGGCAGTGGCTGCTCTCCTGGACCTGGCAGGAGGTAAGAGTGGAAGGGAACTCACTAATCAGCTTTTCTGGCAGGAACGCTGGCCTCAGGGGAGCAGGAAGGTAGGGAAGAAGGCGGCTGCTATGCCAACCTCTTACTGGGTGGCGCAGTGTCTGGGCCAGCGCTGACTTCAGGTTAAGGGCAGTCAGTAAAAGGCAGCTCTCTCTCATCTCTCTTCCCTTCCTCCACTCTCCATCCTCCTCTTTGTGATTCCTTTGTGCCTCTCTTTCCACTGAAACTACTCAGGGGGGGTCAGGCGGCCACAGGTGAGTCGTTCCCATTGCTGACTCCCTGCCAGCTGCCAGACTGTCCTCCTCAAAGTCCCTCCCCTCCCCCATCAAAGATTAAAGCAGAGGCCCAAGTGCAAATGCCTGCAGGGCCTGGCAGGTGACACTGATGAGTGCAGCAGGTGGCTGGGAACAGCAGTGGCAGGATTAAAGGGGGCGCCTGCTCTCTCCAGCCCTGGCCGGCTGCTGCTCTGTGGTGGCTGGGCTCAGGGTAGCCAGAGCTCCAGCTTTTTCAGCGGCAGCTGGACAGCCGGACCTCTGTGTGGGTAAAAGGATGCTAAAGGGGATTATCTTACTGCCAGCGAACTGCGAACTGCAGCTGAGGCCAAGGGACTGTCCAATGGATGCCGCCTGCTGGGCCCAGACATCCACATCCTCACCCCCTGGGGCTTAATCCATCACTCCCAGAAATGGAAGAGCCCTCCAGAAGGGGACTGGCCTCTGCCACTGGGCTGGAAACTTGCAGAGCTGCAGGGCCTGCAAACCATCCAGGAGCGCCCATCCGAGCATCCTTCATTCTCTCAAGGGTTTGCGCACCTACTCTGTACTAGGCTTTGGAGATAAGTGTGGAAGAGAGAAAGACCATAAAGAGAATGTTCTCAAGAGGGTGCAAGGTGCATTCTGGAGCCCACTGTTTATGAACATGGAGACGAGGCCTGTTTCTGACCAGAACAACTCCTGAGCTGGCAGGCCCATGGGAACAGCCCAATGCTGGCTTGAAGGGGTAGTGATGCGGGGGATCAGGAAGGAGGGCGGCCCTGCATCCCCTCCCTGAGCTCTGAGGCCTGGAAGGCAGGTGGAGGGCCCTGGCACGCCTGGTGCTCAAGAGCTGCTGTGGCAGATGGTAGGTGACCGCCGCCAGCAGATGTGCTGGGAGCTTCCGGCAGACGTGCACCCTTTGAGGGCCCAGGGCAAAGCTCTCACCACCTCCATACACTATGTGTGCAGCCTATTGGAGACCACAGAATCAAAACAACCCCCTCAAACCCTAGAATTTAGAGAAAGACCACCTCCTCCCACCCTCTTCTCCATCAGCAAGACCAGGGAAGAGGCACTTCTTGTGGCTCTCTCCTCTTCCCCGACCACACCAGAGGAAGTCAGAGGGGACTTCTTGGAACTGGAAGTGAGTTGGAAAGTAAATTGGGTTGGACTAAGTTTGAAAGTGACCAGTTAACTACTGGCTGGGTCCCAGCTGCTGAGATGAGAAAGGGAGGTTTGACAGAGCTCAGCTGGATGAAAGGCAAACAGTGAACAAGCATGAGGTATTCAACTTCTAACAACCTAGAGTGTTCTGTGCCTGGCCCTCTTCTATGCCTTTCCAATCCTGCTCACACAGTCCCATGACTACCCCACAGAGGGGCCCATCATTACCTCCATACAATGAAGAGCTTTGGCCCAGGCAGGTTAAGGAAGCTGCCAAAGGTCACACAGTGGGTGAAAAGCAGAATCAAGTTAATAACCTGCTCATGCATCCCATCGAAGAACACGCAGGCCAGTCGGAGCATGGGCTGGGGGCTACTACTCTGAGGTCTGGAGTTACGTGGGAACTAGGAAGCTCTGCGGCAGGGAAGAGGAAGGCATATGGGGGAGTACTGAACTCAGGCCCACGTCCACTTAGGGCCATGGAATACTACTGGTGAGCAAGACCTTAGAGACAGGTGCACCTTTACCTCCATTTACAGATAGGAAAAGTCAGAGGGGATAGGATGTGTCCACAGTCACCATGGCTTAGCCCTCAGCCCATTCTTCTCCTCATATGCTTCTCACTTGAATTTATGTCCTGGGAACTAAGAAAGGATAAGGGCTCCTGTGGGTGTAGTCTGAAGGAGAGGGAGAGGGCAGACTCTGTATTTCGACCAAGACACCTGGGTCCAGTCTGTTTGTCCTCAAGACTGGGCCAGATGATCCAAGTGGACTGGGGAACAGCAGTTTGGCCTATCCTAATGACCACCCCCAGCAGATTGACAGAGGGTGGGCGCTGACCAGGGTGCTGAAGCTGAAGGACACCGTCTGCTTTGGACAGTGTTTAGTGAAATGCCTTGGTCTAGGTGGCAGGTCTCTGTGGCCTGGGAAAGTCACTCATTCAGTGGCTCTGAATCTACCTCTTTACCTGCTCAGTGGGGAAGATTAACTCTCATCCTACCAAACTTAGGAGGCCAAGTGACAGGGCCCTGTATACATCCCCCAGGGCCCAAAGTGGGCTCTCAGGAATTCACCCTCATGGGCTTTTTGAGTGTTTCTTCTGTAGAATGGAGGTTGTGATGGGTGGTTTTGGGTGCCTGTTCAACCTGGGTGCCAAGATTACAGGTAGGAACAGAGGCTCAATTTGCAAACAGGATGGATTTCAGTCTCAGACCATCCTGGGGATTAGGTACCTTCACACAGATCCTGACTTCACCCTGTAAGTGCCAGACAAATGCTTTTTTCTTTCTCTGGGGGCAGCCCAAGGTTCTTTCCTCTTGTCCTTGAGCTCCACCCTTATCTACTCATATGGTCTCATTAATAGTAGCAGCTAGTACCTACTGAGCCTCTGCAGGCTGCTAATAAGACACATTATCAGGACGGATCCTGCAAGAATTCTGCAGGTGGAGGTGGTGCTCTTCTTGCAGATGGGAAAGGCCACGTACTGGCTAAGGCAGCACTGGGAGTCACACCCATGTCTGCCCAAATCTGAGACCCCTTCTGGACCTAGAAGGAGTTACTGGGCCTTTCCAGCCCCTCTTTCCCAGTTCAAAAAATGGGGATGACACCTCAAAGATTTGAACATAATGAATGCTACCTTACAAGAGTGCTTATGTACTTAGACATACATGAAACACATTTGGGTGACCAATGAGGGTAAGGGAATGGAATAGATACTGGGGTTATAATAGGCACACACTTAAAACAGGAGGGTTCTTGCATGCATTAATCATAATGTGCCATCAAGCAGGAATGACTGACTCAATTCCTTGCATTTGATAAACAGGTGAAAAAAAGCTTCCACCCTTGAACTTCTTAAACTTTAATGTGCACATGAATTATGGGAAGAACTTGTTAAAATGAAGATTGCTGTTTGGTCTGGGGTGGGGCCAGAGATTCTGCATTTCCTGACAAGATCCTAGGTGATGCTGCTGCTGGTGGTGGTCCAAGTAGAAAGAATGGAAAGTCTTTCTTTCCCTTCTCTGTTCTCAAACTTGTGTGATTACATCAATCATAGAGAAATTTGTAAAAAATGGGTTTGAGGGCCTTACCCTAGAGATCTGGGTGGGGCCCAGGATGTACTAATGCATACTTAGAGCAAGTATCTCAGGAGATAGGCTTGGCACGCAAGGCTGTGGGACATCCACTTGGCCCGTGGCACCAACACAGATGGGAGACTGGCTTACCAGACCTCTGTCCAATGCACTTTACTGACTGGAAAGGTGGGAAAAGGAAAAGGGACCTCCATTGCAGCTACAGGTTGAGAGTTGATGTAGATCCTAACAATCAGAAGCATTGAACTAATCCTTCAACTTGGACCTGAGCTGAGTGGGGTCACGCTGGCGGCACTGGTGCAGCTCTGCAGTTCCTAAGCTCCAAGTCATGGCAATGACGACGACGTGATCTCTGCATGCTAACCTCTTTGGCTAAAAAAATTAGTTTCTTTTTACTACGACTGCAGACTTACACTTCAGCAGTGCCCTACTAATCTCTCGTCCCTCTGAACCCTCATCACATTGTGACTCACGACACTCACCTTGTGTGGCTCATCTGTAACAGTTAGTCACATGGTCCCCTAGGGCCCTCTCTTAGACATTGCCATCAACCCCATATTCCTCCAACCCTTCCACTTTGTAGCTCCCTTCATCCCTGCCACTAGTAGGGTTTTCTGTCATTGCTGCTTTTTTGCATTCTGGGGTCTGTCCTCAGTCACCCAGGCTTGCCACCCCTCACTGGCTGCCACCTTTGCTTTCTGATCCCATCCTCTGGGGGCAGATTCAGGGCTACCAGGGGTATGCCTTGTTGGCAGTCCAAGAGCAAACAATGCCTGGGATTTGGATGCCTGCCTTTGAGTCTCTCTATTGGTGCAAAAAGTCAACAATGGTCTACAAGCATGAAACATTTGACAGAGAAATCTGGGCGTGTGTGCCTGTGGGCAATCTTTCCTCTCCTAGGGGTAGAACCTGTCTTTATTGGAATTGTACCAAAATGGACAAGATTAGGTAACAGACTACAGATTCCAATTTTCCTGTGAAGAGACACATGAATCAGTTACAAAAAAGTGCCATTAATGACAACAGAGAGGGAGCCCACGAGGAAAGCTGGGTTCCAGAGTGAGGCTGTATGGGACTGGCTGCCCTCTTTTGAACTCTTGTCAACAGGCACTGGCCACCCAGCACAGGAACAGTCTCCATTCTGAGCACAATATATTCTTGGGACCTTAAGAGACTCTTGATTTCTCAATGGAGGTTGGCAGATGCTCACAATTAGATAAATGTGATGAGAAACACAGCCAGCTCTGAGAACTAGGGAGGAGACAAGCTAAGGAAGAGAAGGTGGGATGTGAGTCAGTGCATCCCAGAAACAGAACTAGTGGTCCATGGCATTTCACCACCAACAGACAATCACTTAGAACCAGGCCTTTATTGTACTTGTAAAGTCATTGGATGAACAATTAAATTTTGCACCAAGCAAAAGTGATGCTGTGAATCTCACTAGAAAAGGCCATGGAAATTTCTTGCATCATATCAAGCCGAAAACATCTCCCAAAGTCAAACACAACTCCTCTGCAGCTCACCAGCCATGGTCACCCATGGTCTATTCCCCATGGTGAGTGCCTCTGGTCTCTGCCTTGTTTAGCCTAGGTCAAATTTCTTCTTAAAAATAAATAGAAGGCAAAACCCACAAGATACCACTTCACACCCACTAGGATGGTGATAAGCAAGAAGATGAAGAATAACCAGTACGAGGAAGTGAAGCAACTGGAACCCTCACAAGTTACGGTGGGAGGGCCTAGTGGTGCGGCTGCTGTAGAAAAAAGCTTGGCAGAGTCTTGGAACGTTAAACACAAAGTTACCACGTAATCCAGCAATGCCGTGCCTTGATTCCTACTAGCCAAAAAGCAGTAACCCAACTGTCCACCAACTGGTAAATGAGCGAGCAAAATGTGACATATTCATGCAATGGGCATTATTCAGCTACACAAAGGAATGAAATACAGACAGATGTTTCAAGATGAGCGCATCTTGAAAACATTACACCCAGTGAAAGAAGCCAGAGACAAAACGCCACTAGGAAGTGACTCCACTTATGAGAACTGTCTAGAATAGGCAAATCTTTAGTGATACAGGGATAGATTAGTGATTTCCTGGACTGGGGGTTGGGAGGAGGGAGAAAGGGAGTGACTGCTCATGGGTATGAAGCTTCTTTTCAGGGTGGTGACAATGTTCAGGAATTGCATATGGTGATGGATGCACAACACTGTGAAGATAGTAAATAAAGCTCACTGAATCGCATATTTGAAAAAGGTGAACTTTTGGTCTGTGAACTGTATCTCAATAAAGCTATCACTAAGAAAGAACAGGTTATGAAGTGTGGATGTTTATTGTTAAGGCTACAATTTGGGGGTTCTACAAAACACACACCTGCAACGTCCCCACCTGCTGCTCGGGGAGGACTCACAGCTGGAGGGAAGCAGCCCACGTCAAATCCAGCACCAACAGCTTGACCAGGAAGTTCCTAAACACCCCATTCCCTGCCCACACGCAACATCTAAGACATGGCCTGTGCTCCTCCTTGATACAGGGAGACCCACGTAACAAACAACTGATTCTGAAGAGGAATCACTATATTTTCTGCTTCAGAAAACAGAAGTATGTGTATGATTGTATTTTCAAACTTTGCTCTAGAAAACGTAAGTGGAAAATTTATTATTAATCTTATTTTTTCCTTGAATCAGACACACTGATCTACCCTCCCTGCCTGATGTCTCCAGTCTGATGTTCCTTTTACAGATGCTTCCTGTTATAATAAAGGATGCTTTCATGAGCAAATCGCTCCCGATCCCTTTGGTTACAGGTATGATCTGATTCCCAAACCAGAACTCATATTTCACTAACCCACCAGCCCTCAAGGAAGGAGGTTATGAGCAAGGATGGCATCTGTGCCTCTGCCTGATATCTGGGTCTTTCCCTAAGTGCACAAATGTTCTAAGGGGTTCAAAGCTGTCAGCTACCTCTGGCGTCTTGGTGTTTGACATGGAAAGGGCCTGCTCCTGCAAGCCTCCCACCCTGGGCCTGAGGGTCAGTTTAGCTTACTGCTACCCATCCTCAGGCTGAGCAGAGGAGCAGCATAGAAACAGCCTAGCAGTGCTTCAGCAAAGCTACAGGAGCCTACTGCCCACAAGCAAGCAATACGTCCTAACTGCCGGGAGGGATCAGAAAAGCTGAGAAGTAAAAGGACCCCCACACATCTGAAACGCCAGTGGGGAAGCCAAAGTGACTAGTGCCTGGACCTGTGCCTCTGAACCGCAGCTGTAGGGTGCTCTTTCCACTGTAGCACAGGGGCTCATCACTGCCCACGTGGCAGGCCTCAGCCTGAAAAGGATCTGGAGAACACCAAATGTCAGGTGGGCATGGACACAGGACAGTGGCTTCCAGAGCTGGGGCTCCCTGTTCCTCCCGAATTTCACCACCACACTCAGACAGAGCCCATGCTGCCGTGATCTTGACTGGGCGAGGGACGAGAGAGAGGGAGACTCAGTAAGCAGTACCAGAGAGCCTTGACTTTCAGTCTGCTCCTTCGGCCCAGTTCCTAGGGGCCCCAGCCAGAGAAAGCAGCACTGATGTTTCAGGGCAGGGAAGGATCTCTCATTTCATAGGTGGGCGAGAGGCCTAAAAGGTGGGACTTGCTTAGGGTCACTCAGTGAGTTAGGGCAAAAATGAGATTAGCCTCTAGGTCTGTTCTGTTTATTCCTCTGCTTATCAGGCTACTGCTGCCCAGGGGCAGATGGAGCTGAGGGCCGGCCCAGAACAGGAATACGGGAGGACTGTGCCCTTGTCAGAGTGATGCAGTCTTTCCACAGTGTGCCTGCCCTGTCCTAGGAGACCAGTGCATTTCTAGTCACTCATTTTCTATCCAAGGAGTCGGACCCATCTTAGCGATCTCAGGAGCAACAGCAGTTTATGAGCGCAAGTGCCTGAGAAGCAAGAGCAGGCCCTGGGCGGGAAGAGAGTTGCTGGGCCCTACAAAGACTAAAACTCTAAAGCCTTGTCACCAGAAGGAGCTGTGTGCATCAAAGCAAAAAGAAAAGTGAGAGACCGGCAACGTGAATTTTGTATTGACATTTGGTTCTTCATAATAACATCCAAAATGCGTTCTGTTCTTATAGCGCTGTGACTGGGACTCCGTCGGGTGGAGGGTTTATGTTGCCGGAGGCTCCCTTGGAAAGTAGGGAGGAGCTGATGGTGTGAGATCTTTGGGACCTAAGGCAGCCGGGTGGAGAGCTGCAGCAAGTGCCTCAGCTCTGATAAGGGGAGGGGAGGCAACCCCAGCCGGCCAGCAAACACATGGGCAGAGTCCCTGGGCCCCAGCCCGCAAGAACACGGTTGCTGACGGGGCCAGTGGTGGCAGCTCCAGGAGAGTGGAGAGAAGGCTGGGATGTTACATTCTTGAGGCCTTCACAGGTACATGTCATCGTAGCCCGGCGGGGGGAGATGGTCTGGGTTAGGTCTGGAATGGAAAGAGGGGCTGGTGAGTCGGAGTGCGGGAGGGGCCGGAGCACACAGGCGGATGGAGCCTGCCCCCAGGGTGCTGTGGTGGAGCGCGGCAGTTCAGACCACGACTCAAGAGCCTGGGTTTGATTTCTGAGTCCCTCACCCGGGGTCAGTGACCTCAGCTTTCAGAGCCTCAATGTCTGCATCCATAAACATGAGGATAGTACCACCTACCCAAGACTGCTGACAGAGGATACAATGAGTCTGACACATGCTTAACTTCTAGTTAGGGGTAGCTCTTCCTCCTTCTGAGTCCTCCCTGGAGGGGAGCTAGGGGAAGGGAGGCACTCAGAGATGGCGAGCTCCTGGAAGGCTCTATGGAGGCAGCAGACAGCACCACGGTAGAGGCTCTACCGTCTCGGCATCAGTGGGTGGAGGCAATGGCAACTCTGCTCCTGGTTTCAGAGACTTTAGCTGCCACTACACGGAACTGAACTGCCATCAGGTCCCGCTTCTCAGCATACCTGGGTGAATACCTACCCTGATGGGCTGGTCCCAATGGGTCCAAAGGGGTCAAAGCGAGCTCCTGGGGGTACAGCGCCTGGCGGAAGCCGGTTCGGGAGGCCTGAGGATGGGTCAATAAGTGCTCTTGGGAAGCCAGATCTCAGGGGATCCACAATCATGCCACCTCTCCGACACCTGAGGCAAGAAGGCAAACTGGGTAAGCAGCCATGGCAAGGACTGCCCTTCAAGCAAAGGTGAAGAAAGGGGGCGTGGATGAAGACTGACCGTGTCCACTCTGAGGGTCTGACAGTCATGTGAATGGTGCCTGAAAGCCAGCAGGAAGCTGGCAAAAGCAAGAATGCTAAGGGACTGTACTTTTGGTTCTGTAGGCCTCCCTGAGCCTACTGAGAACCCTTGTTATGTCCTATACCCAAGCGGGGTGATCTGATCAAGAACAGGAGCTGGAACTGGCTAAGGTCAATACAGAGCTGTCACAAGGCTCTACAGGGCATATGTTAGGTTGAAGGACTAATAACTAAAAACAACCCATGAAGCCAGTTTCTTTGGCTCTGTTTCCCTTTTGGGCCTCAGAGCCATCTGAGCCTGCCTGTAGGTTGCCCAATTCTGGCTCCTGACAGCATCTGTCCCCCAAGGAGTTCCATGAACCTGACCTCACATGCTCCAACTAGGAGAGTGAGCTGCTATTCCCCCGAGGTCACTGTTCAGGCTGCACTGGAGAGTTAAGTGACTTCCCCTCTATCTAAAGAGGAGATGTCTAAGTTGGGGTCACCTTGCAGCAGAGGCTAAATCCAGTCTGAATTCTGCAGAGCAGACAGTGCATAGCCGAGGCAGCAGTAACTTTATGGGGTGTATGGCAAGGATCACAGACAGTCTAACGAGGCTCAAAGACTCCCTTTATCTAGCGGGGCAACCTCACAACAACCCTGAGCAACGTTCAACTCAGCGGCCCACTGTGTGCTCCTCCATCAGTGCCTGGGCAATCCTGAGGCGGCCCCCGTGCTGCACTCGGGCGCTGCTATGGGCACGACGCACAGTCAACACCAGGGCTTGCTCAGCCGCTTGGCAACAGCTTCCTCCTCCACCCCAAAGGAAAGCCTCAAATTAGAAGATGAGCTGGGGCTGAGAAGCCACGGGAGCCGGTTAGGTTGCTGCCACCTCCCCAGCAGTACTCACCCAAAGGGGTCTAGGTCTTCTCCCCCGACGGCAAACGGGCCCAGGGGATCACACCTGAAACAAACAAGGAACAATTACCACACGTCACAGAGCAGCCAGGCGCCAGGCAGCCAGGGGCTCGAACCCAATGCCTGCAGGGTCAGAAAGGCACTTCCAGGCAAGGGGGACGGGTCCCTGCAAGAGACCGTAACACAAGGAAGGGATCCTTCCAAGGGGTCCTTGGCACAGATGAATACCAGTATTATAGCAGCAATTACGTGAAAAGGGCTCATCACAAAGCTAACCACATGGAGAATCTGCCTGTTTAAAGCTAAAAATATTAACAATGGTAACCTCCACATAAATTCTATTTTATTCGACCCTTTCTCTGTATAATGAACAAAGAACTTTTCATCAGAAAGTTATTCTAAAACCCAAACCCCAAAGCTCAGGTTTAAATGCTTCCCAGGAGTAACAAAGGCACGGAGTCTCAGCAGCCGGAGCTGTGCCTCTTATGTTTGTTCACCGTGGGTCTTGCATGAGCTCTTCCACTACTACACTGCACTGTTTAGGCACTGGAGCCCTCTGGAGCGTCATGGGCCACAGCCACTGTCAGTTCTCAACAGTCTCCTCTCCAGTCCCCCCACAAAGCCTGTTTTTGCCTTCACTGACACTGTGAGCTGTGAAAAGGAGTGGCTACTTTCTGGAGGACAACTCAACATCCTCTCTCTAATGCATACACAAAATAGAACCTGGCTTTTGGAAGTCTTGTGTAGCTTTATATTGAGCCAATAGTTAAATGCCTAAGTATCCATCTTAAATTAAGAATACAGAATTCAAATGAAAATATATCTAACAAAGACTTTAAGCAAGGAAATTGGCATCAGCTTAAATGGGGACCAGTCTGGTATCACGTGGTATACTCCTAAATGCAGCCATGGAAACAACAGAAACAATGTCCTCAGAATGTTTTCAAAATGCTTTTTCTCAAGTGTGAAGTGCGGGTGTGGGGAGGATTATCAACAGCAATGGGAAATCAACTGTGAAAAGTACGTGTGTGGGGGCGTGTATGTGTAAACAGAGCTACAAAGAGGCATTCTCAGAGTGTAAACAGTGACAGCACTCCTGGATGGGGAGTTTCTTCTCCACACCCTCCTGTGATTTTCTATACAGGATCTGTATACAGTAAGGCAGAGAATTAGTATTGAAGAAAATGTGCTTTGGAATCTGCTTGGAGCTCTGCAAGCAGTACAAAGCCAACAGTTCTGGGGTTCCCGCAGCTCCTGCCAGAACACAGGGTCGCTTGATACACAGCAGCTACCCTACACTTACAGGAAAGAAGCCATTAATTAGAGAACTGGGAAGAAATCCAAACAGGCGCTTCTCCATCGGTTTCACCTAATGGGCTGAAAAGGATATTGCAACTGAAGCAGATCAGGCCAGGTTTCCAAAGGAAGGAATTATTCGTGACCTAGGTTATTGTTCCCAGGCCACGGCTCACGGAGCTAGTAGTCAATGTTATTGGTGGCCTCCGACATCCTGCCTCACTGGAGACAGACCAGGCGGTGCCAGAGGGCACCCTGCCCACTACAGAATGGAAACAGGGGGGCTTTTGGTGGCTGTTAAAACGCCTCCAAGTAAAGGGCCTTGACTGCTCCTAATTTCTGGACCACAGCGTGTGGGAAGGGAGAAGAAAGACAACAGTGAAGGCTAGAAAGGCAGCCACAAGTTCCACTCTGCTAATCTGCGCCCTTGAAATTTCACAGCACATTCAGCAGTCACTACAACCCACGCACATTTTGGTGAACTCACAATGCACAAGCTTAGAATCTGACAAAAACAACACAGGGGGTCCGTCACCTCCCTCAGAGCCCCCTTGGCCGACCCTCAGTTTGGATGTGTGGAGATGAACTTATGGGCATTCAAATGCAAGTCATTTTTGTACAAGGATACTTTGAAACATTGTGGGGGGAGGGAATGCAATAAAAAATGTTATGATGCAAAAAATCTTTGAAATCACACATACTTTTTTCATAACTGCATTTTTCATGACATTTTTGAAGACCTCTTGTATGCATGGATTTTAAAATATGTTTGCATAGAAATAAACTTCCCTTTTAATCTCATTTCCCATAGACTTTCTGAGGCAGCCTCGCCTCATCCAGGGCCTCTGAATGCAAGCTTCTAGTGCTCACCTGCTGATCAGCTGCAGGGAAGAACCAGCTGCTCTAAGCTGTCAGGAAACAGGCCGGGGCTGGACCCACTGGGGAAGTACCTCCCAGCGGAAAAGTGGCCTGCTAAGCGGCTGGGGTGATCTTGAATGCCAGGGATGTCTTCCTCATGTGCTCCCCTTTCCTTTCCTGTAAAACCCACATGCCTTGTCTGGGCATGGAAACCAGCTGCTGCCCTTCTAATGGCCCAGTGGCCCAGTGAGTGAGCTGGACAGGCCTCAGGGCTGGGAGCCACAAGACGTGCTCTCTACTTCACATCCTGGATCTTCTAGCTGGCTGGCAGAGGCCTGTACCTCAGCCTTTGGGGTCTGCTATGATGTGGAAACACAGTATCGGATGTAAACAGATGTCTTGACAGGAAGGGCCTGGAAGAAGGGGACCAGGAGCCACATTTGTTTTCTGTCAAATGCTGTGCAAAACTTAGGTTGTTTTTTCCAATTTAGTTTTCAAAAGATGACTTCATAAAATCTGATTTTCTAAATAGTAATGCATTCACTAGCTTTAAAATTGATGAGTAACAAAGGACCAGACGCTGGTCCCTTAGAAAGGTTAGATTGTGAGGCCGGTGCTGTGGCGTAGCGGGTGAAGCCACCACCTCCAGTGCTGGCATCCCATTTGGGCGCTGGTTCTAGTCTTGGCTGCTCCTCTTCCTATCCAGCTCTCTGCTATGGCCTGGGAAAGCAGTAGAAGATGGCCCAAGTCCTTGGGCCCCTGCACCACGTGGGAGACCAGGAAGAAGCTCCTGGTTCCTGGCTTTGGATTGGCACAGCTCTAGCTGTTGTGGCCATTTGGAGAGTGAGGCAGTGGATGGAAGACCTCTCTCTCTCTCTTTGCGCCTCTCTAATAAATAAATCTTAAAAAAAAGATAGGTTAGACTGTATACCAGCATATTTTCTGTAACACTAACATCCTAGCATTTCCATAAAATGAATGAGATTCACACTTCAGTGGGATAAATGCATTTATGAAGAGCTGCAGGCCACTTCCAGATAGGTTCTGGCACCAAGCTCATGACACAAACATTTGGTTTTTGGAGCTCTTTTGATTTTAGAACTGTAGCTAAGAGGCAGTCTCACTGTAACAGGCAAACATCTCATTTTTAAACCTGTCCCCAGCCCATAGTCTTTCCACAATGAACACCACCTGTTTCTTGTATGCGCCTCCAAAAACACTGCACAGAGGAGCAAATTATGTGCCTCCCTCACCTACTTTAACAGCTGCATGTGCTGAGCTCAGCAGTCCTCTGAGTAAGTCTGATTACCACCCCTGATTTTAGAATGAGGAAACAGGCTCTGAGGGGCAACATTTCTTACAGAAATCCACAGAGTTGGGTAAAAGACAAAGATCAGGTTCACACCAGGCATCTTTAGAACCTGGGCTGTTGCACTTGGTGTTGAGACCACTTACTTCTTAGGTGGTTACTGTAATGTTCAGATTTAGATCCACCATTTTACTATTGGTTTTCCAATTATTTCCTCTATTTTTTATTACTCTGTTTATACTACTAAATTTTAAATTTACTATGTTTTAGACTACATCTCTTCGTATAGTTTTGTTGTTGTTGTTGTGTTTTTTTTTTTTTTTTAAGTGTTTGCTCTAGAGATGATGATCTCTTACTGGACTTTTTAGTCTATTTCAAGTAGAATGTAGAAACCTTAACATTACACACAGGTCCCCTTAATTCTCCCCTCTTAATGCTACAGTTTCATAGACTACATTACATCTACATACATTGAAAATCCCATCATCTAATGTCATATTTTTGGATCTCAATGGAAAAAACCCACATATTTTACAGAACTCCAAAGAACAGTCCATTACATTGTTCAAGATATTTAGCCTTTCTATTGCTCTTCCTTTGTTCCCGATGCTCCAAGTTTCCATCTGGTATCGTTTCCCTACTGTCTGGAGAACTTCTTCTCGAGAAGCTCTGTTGACTCTGATTTCTTAGTTTCTTTTCAAGAAGAATATCTTAGTATCCTTCAGAAGTGAAGGTGAAATAGACAACGTACTCAGTGACTAAAATTCTGGGTTGACATTTTTTTCCGAGTATTGTTCTCCTTTCTGGCCGCCATGGTTTCTGATGAGAAATTCACAATCCTTTGACTCCTTGTTCGTCTATGAGCAATGCCTTGCTTTTTTCTAGCTGTGTTTGGAATTTTTTTTTTCTATCTTTAGTTCAGCAGTTTGATGATGATAAGTTCTGGTTTATATCCCTTAAGATTTGCTGAGTTTTCTGAATCTGGAGGCCTACTTGTTACATCTGAGGAGTTTCCAGTCATTATTTTCTTTAAGCTATTTCTTCTGTACTTCGCTTTTCTCTCCTGGACTCCAGTGGCCCTAAGGTTAGACCTTTTATGACTGTCCCAAAGGTCCCCGAGGCTAAGCATTTTCTCTATTGTTCAGTTTCTACTCATCTATCCTCTAGTTCACTGACTCCTCATCAAACCTGTTCTGATACTGATGCATCTACTGAGGTGTTAACTTAGATCACTGCATTTTTCAGCTCTAGAATTTTCACCTGGCTCTTCTTCAGATCTTCTCTGTTTATCTGCTGAAACTTCCTTATCATTCTGTCCGTTGCTCACTTCTAGGGGCATTTCTTTAAAGTTGCTTAGAAATCTTTGTCAGATAATTCCAACATTCGTGTCATCTCAATAATAGCAAATACTGATTGTCTTTTTGTGAGCTGAAATTTTGACTCTTTTATGCCCAGTGATTTTGGAGTTCTATCATAGATATTTTGAACATTTTGATATGAAGTTTGGAAGAATCCTGGTACTTTTGTTTCAGCAGGCAATCGACTTGGTTGGGTTTGGGTTCCAAGATCTGGTTTCATTGTCA